AGGAGCGCGTTTCGCAGCGATGAAACAGCCAGAGAGAGAGAGAGCGAGCGAGAGAGAGAGAGAGAGAGAGAGAGAGAGAGAGAGAGAGAGAGAGCGGGTGGTGATGTTCAGGGATGGAGGTGTGTGGGTAAGAGGTTTGTTGCGTTGCGACAGGTTCTGTTGCGTGTTTCGTGGTGCGGGGTTGCTGACAGTTGTTTGTTGATTGTCCTTTTTGTATAGGGTTGTGCGGATAATATACCACGCACGTGGTGCGTGTGTGCGTGCGTGCGTGCGTGCGTGCGTGCAAGTGTGAGTGTGTGTGCATGAGCTGACGTTGCTGGGTGTGCAAACAAGTAGGGGTGGGGTGCCACCGTGCGCATAGGAAGGATGTGTGGGTGCGTGGATGTATGTGTGCGGGCGGGTGGGTATGGGAGTGGGGAGTTATTGTGTTGCGAGGGTTTTGTTGTGTGGTTCGGGGTTGTTCGTTGATTGTTTTTGCACGCAGGTTTGCAGGGGTGCAGGATCACACCACACGCGGTGTGCACGTGTTAGGTCGTTCGTGCGTGCGTGCGTGCGTTCGTGCGTTCGTGTGTGAGTGTGAGCTGGAATTGCCGTGTGTGCAACCATCTCCACCAGATGGCGCCTATGCGGCCAGCAGAGGGCGCTCAACATGCCGATATGCCCACCGGCGCCACCTGTGTGAAGACGTGTCAATAGGTGGCGCCTGCGTGGCTAGCCGAGTAGGCGGCAATGTGAGCACGCGCGCGCGTTGCCACGGCAGGCGTTGGCATGGCGACAGGTTTGCCTCAGCTGGCCCCTGTAACATCAGCGAGGGTGTGTGCGCGCTGGCTTGCCATACTCACTCACCTATACCTTATTAACCAACGTTGTTTGTGACCTTCCGTAAGTGCTGACTGTTTGATTTGGTTTCCTGTTTCGTAGCATTACTAACGTAAAGGTACCCCCCTCGGCCCGTCCCAAGGGCCACGTGAAATCCGCATCAACGTCGCAGGCAGGACGGCTTGGCCTCGCTCCTTTTGACGAGCCGCTGAGGCCCATGTGAGTTAGCCGCCGCGGCCTCTTTGTCATCGTTACGCTTCCCGGAGTCTGCTGCATCTTGCGTTGTCATGGCAACGATTTATTTCTGCATGCTGCTGCCGTGCTGCTGCTGGTGATGGGGGCTTGCAGTGGGTTGCCGTGGATACGCGACGCGGTGTGCGAGTCGTCGGCGCCGATACTAATTACCCATAATGTTCCTCTGCGAGCTTCTTCTCTCTCGTCTTCCCTCACCTCGCCTCGTTTGCTAGTAATTTACCGCCGGAAGAAATGTAGAGTCTGATCAGATGAATCTCATTGACGAAAATTAACGTGTTTTTTTAATTTTGGTTCTATCTCTTTTTTGCGAACTCAAAACGATAGAATTTTGGTGATGCCAGATCGATAAAAATTTTGTTGATGAATTGTGTGATACAGGGTTGTTATAAAACACCTAAGTGAGCATTTTGGCGGAGTTATGTTTTTTTTTTTTTTTAAAGGATATGACTGACTCGGTTAAACATTTTCGCAACCCTGTTCTTTTTATTACTTAATAATATGTAATGCATCACTTTCACTCTCGGAGCAATTCTTATCTGTTTGGTTGCACTTTCTACACGCACTTCATCTATAGTCTGTAAATATTGATCTTGCTTAAAAGGTGGCAGTTATAAACAGAAGATTTACAGTCGTTTTTGTCTACAATTTTTTGCTTATTAATTCACCACAGCCGGTGTTTAGTTATATTTTACACATCTCTCTGTATCTTTAATGCGCATTTATTTCTCGCGGAATTTGGCTTCTGTACATTGGCATTATAATTCACACTCGGTTTACATGGTTAGCTTGTACATCAATGATCGGCTGTACGAACGAAGGGTAGCAGGGCTACCTCTGGATGCTTTAACGTTTGAGCCAAAACTTGAGCCAACATATATTTATTATTTATATATAAATATATATATATATAATTATATAAATACTTATAATAATTAATATGATTATTATCATTATTTATTATTTTTTAACCACCGATGGAAAACTATAGTCACTGTTCACTTCATCGTATGTGCTAAGCAAGGCATAAACGGGTGATGGGTATAGGAAAAGAGGTGTACGAAAACATTTTACGACACGACACTGCAATTTGCCGATGTCATTATTGGAATGTAATATTGCGAGCAGTTAAACCATTCGCCATTTTTATTCGCCACCTAGTGTAGTAAAAATCGTCAATGTTATTTATTTTTATCGCATTTTTGCAAAGGTGGCCAGCGGTAGGGGTAGGTTAGGGAGAATCAGCTGTACCATCTTTGCATGCACGTTTGTAGAGGCGACCTTCTTGTCATGACTCTAGTCTTTGCTAGTCATTCCTCTATATATAAAACACAACACGTGAGAGAAGTCCATGAGCTTCATTCCCTAATGCGCTCTCTCCTCTACCTCGTATCTCCTATATCGTCTCTATCTGCCAACTAGCTCTTCTAATTCACATCTGGTTGCACCGATCTCTTTCTCATGCGCGCTTCTCCTTCTCTCTCTGGTCACGTTCCGCCATCTGTCCTCTGGTCCTGTCGCGACGCCGACGTCTAGCACAGCTAAAGGTAGATCCGCGGAGAAATCCGGGCACCAAAGCTACGCGCTCCCGGCATATGAAGACATAAACAGGCGGTCCTCCGAGGAAGAAGACGAGCGACTAACTCTCAGTGGACAAGCAGGGTAATCGCCAACACTCATCTTCTCTCTCTCATCGGCATCTCAACCTTGCAACCTCCCCCAACACATGCCCTCCCGCCACAGCAAACCTTCCCAGGCACACAAACATACGAACCATGACAACAAACCATAGCAGCGGCCCATGAGGTTGCATCACCTCAGGCGAAGATGTGTGTTTTTGAGAATCTAAAGCAGATCTCGTCCTCATCCCTATATCCCGCATCCACGTATATATCTACACTATCACTATATATAGTATCTATATTCATATATATATATATATATATATGATTACTAGA